AATATCAATAATGTATAAAGAACTCTTATAGCTTCACAATAACAAAAAGTAACTCAATTTAAAAAAAGGACAAAAAATATGAACAGACATTTCTGCAAAGAAGATATATAAATGGCCATTATATGGATATGAAAAGATGCTCAACATCCCAAATCATTAGAGAGATGCAAACCGTACCATAATGGGGTATCACCACATGCCCACTAGGATAACCACTATCACGAAAACAGAAAATAACAAATGCTGGTAAGGATGTGGAGAAACTGGAACCCTTGTGCACTGCTGACGGGAATGCATAATGGTGAAACCACTATGTCAAACAGTATGGTGGTTCCTCCAAAACTTAAACATAGAACTACCATAGGATCCAGCAATCCCACTTCTGGGCATTTAACCAAAAGAACTGAAAGCTGAGTCTCAAAGGGACACCCAGGTTCACAGCAGCACCATTCACAAAAGCCAAGAGATAAGAGCAACTCAAATGTCCACCTATAGATAAATGGATCAAGAGGCGGTGTATACCTACAACAGAACATTATTCAGCCTTAAAAGGAAGGAAATCTTGTCACATGTTACAACTTGGGGATGAAACTTGCAGGATATTATGCTAAGTGAAATAAACCAGTCACAAAAAGACAAATACTGTGTGATTGCACTTACATGGATATCTAAAGTATTTAAATTCACAGAAACACAAAGAAGAATGGTGGTTACCAGGGGTGGTGGACGAGAAAATGGAAAGTTGACATCTAATGGTTTTAGCCTCAGTTTTGTTAAATAGAGAAGTTCTGAAGATTGTACAACAATGTGAATACACTTAACACCACTGAAATGTACACTTAAAAGTGGCTAAGGTGGTAGATTTTATTTCATGTGTTTTTTACAATCAAAAACAACAAATAAGATTAAAATGAAGTCTTTTCAGAGGTAATGAGGTAACTTCACAGGAAAAAAGGTATGACTCATCAGAAAACTATAATAATTTTAAACTTTATGCATCTACTAATACAACTTCAAAATACAATAAAAATTAATATAATCATAGAAATTGACAAATGCATCATAATAGAAAGAGATTTCAACACAGTAACTGGTCAAGCAGATAAAATTACTGAGCCTTGAATAGCAGAGCTGACACGTTTGATCTATCCTAGGAAAAGAGAGACAGGGAGTGACCCTAGCATGATAGTGGAACAGGAAGTCCCCAGTCTGCATCTTCCTACACAAACAATGATTTGGCAGGCAACCACAGACAAAAGTGCCTCTGTGGAAGCTTTGGGATCCAGGTAGGAGGTTACAAAAAACCAGTGACCCCGCAGACCAAGGACAACTGCTTTGAAAAGGCAGGCTTGCAGCCTGGTGGCAAGCTCACATGGTTCTGCCAGCAAACTGAAAGCAGCCCCAACTCCCTATGAACTCAGCTCCAGGCCTCCCTGGCCATGGTCCTGCAACCAGTCCCATCTGACAAGGGACTCAGGAGAAGCCACACCATCCATGCCTCTAGTAACAGGCCCACCAGCCTTGGACCAGACTACAGATCCTGAAGCGACCCTGTGACCAGGCTCTAGCCCTGCTCTCAGTCCTGCTCACCCAGGGCCCGAGCAACACCCATCCCTTCTGGGCCCCTGGTAGCAGGTATGTTACCCTCACTGAGACCTGGTTTCAGTGCTGCTCCAGTGTGGTCTCCTCAGAGGCGGTCCTGTCTGCCTGGGGATCCGGCAGGAAGCGCACCTCCCTGCAAAAACCATTAATCATAAATAAAGTTCTTCCCCATTTAAACCAAGAACTTCTCTGTTCATCAGAATAAACTCATGAACTGGAGAAGTTACCTACAACAAATATAAAGGGTTAGTGTCTCAGAGATGAGAAGAATCTAGTATATATAAAGAAATCCCAGATACAATTAAGAAAAGCACAAATAAAACAACTGGAAAACGGGCAAAATGGTATCAGGAGGCATTTCTCTAAGGAAATAAAAAAGCAGACAGACGCGAAAAGATGCTCAATCTCATTGCTATTCAGGAAATGAAAATTCCACAGTGAGACATCATTCCACATTTACCAAGCTGGCAAAAATCTGAAAGGCAGCGATGATCAAGTGCCGAAAAGGACAATGCGTAATTCAAGAGGCCATGTACTGCTGAAAAGAGTGTAAACAGCTCGTTAGTATCTACTGAAGTTCAAAGTGCACAAACCCACCCAGCCAGCCAGCAGTCCACCCCAGGTACCTACCCTAGAGCAGGGGTTCTCTGTCTCGGCACCAGCATTTGGAGCCCAACAATTGTTTGGTGTGTGGGAGGGTGGGAGCCGGTGGGAAAGCTGTCCTGAGCACTCATTGTAGGGAGCTGAGCAGCACGCCAGGTCTCCACCCACCAGAGACAGTAGCACATCACCTCACAGGTCCGACAGCCAAAAGCATCTCCCTTTCTTCCCTTCCTGCAACTCAGCCCCCTCACCCTGCAGAACTCCTGCACGGTGCACAGGACAGGACAAGGATGCCCACTGTGGCACGATCTATTTACAGCAGCAAAGACCAGAGACAGCCCAAACAGCTCTCAACAGAAGGGATGCAGCGGACCACCACAGAAAAAGGGAACGAGGAACTTCAGCCACACACAACACTGACTGAATCTCAAACAAAAGACACTGAGCCAAAGCTTTCTCAAAATATTAGCAGTAACTATTACTTTGATTCCTCATGCTTTCTTCCCTTATAATTCAAATCCCCAGATTGTTCCTTGTAAAAATATACAATGAATTTCTCTCTTAAAATTTACTTGATACTTCTCTTTATAGGTATAGTTTCATCCTGATATTCCTGAGGTCATAGGACATGGGACAGTACGCAAGTCCTAAAAAGCATTGTAATAAGAATGTTTCTTGATGAGTCGTAGATTCTAAGGCTTAAGTTTAGATTACTGGATAATACTCTGTGAACTCTATTTGGCAAAATATGGTCTTTAAAAAGTCTTAATCATACTGAAATCATACTGGAATAAGGTAAAATATAACCTGGAATACATACATATAAGTTTAGAATATAAATAACAGAAAACTTAATTTGGAAATTATTCTTGGAAAATATA